TGGGAATCAGTTGGAAGAAGCAAAAACAATACAGAGCACCCATTTTAATACAAAGGGAAACTCACAAGGAAGAACAGTAAAAAGGCATGAATCCTCAATGATAGTTCATTATTTCAAAGTCTTAATTTAATGAAGAAACGTCAACTTAAAGGGTTTTTATAGTTTTTTTAAAATATTTGAAAACTATAAAAATACTTTAAAAATATTTGAAAACTAAATTGAAAGCTTTATTGAAAGACCATATTTACAATTTAAAGATCTTAAAAAGTTTCAAATATTTACAGAAAAAAGTTAAAAGATTTATTTTTTTAACAGCAAAGGTCTTAATCGTTTTTATGTAACAGCTCATTATAATTTATCAATTATTAGGAGATCTTACATTACTTTATCAGCAATTAAAAATTTATTACAACTCCAAAAAATTCTATCTCTTTCAGTTCTTTTACAGTTGAAGTAAGTTCTCACACTGGAAAAGTCTATCCAGGTTGTGTTAGAAGCTGAAATTCAGAAAAATGCCACAGGAAAAATCTGTGGAATGGAAGGACAAATTTACTCCATAAGACCATCAACTGCATAAAGTGAAGCATTCTAAACCATCACACAACTAACCAATGCAAAGAGTGTTCAAACCTTTTGATGCTGGGAGATACTGCACAAGATGTGGGACAAAGAAACCATACAAACAAAAGTTATTTTCAGCTGTATCACAAGAATATCACTTTTGTGATATAGTGGGATATTGTGCAGAAACCAGAAACAGTCCTTGAATAATAGAACAGTGTTGGTTATATCAGCAAAACTTAATTCTTTATACCGAAAACCATTAGAAAATGTTGACTCCCAAAATACACTTTGATTATTTTGGGTGAAATATGTCCCTTGAAGAAATATTTCAATCATTCCTATGGGGAAATAGGTGACTCATCTGAACAGGACATAACAAACCACATCTACGTCAATAAACATCTAACTCAATTCAAGCATGATACAGGAGCAAGTGTCACCGTGTTATCTGACAAAACTCCTTGGTTGAAAAACATAAAATTATAACTTACTGATCTGATGTTACTTGGACTATGTAGAATAACACCTAAGTCTACAGCACTGTTCAAAGTTTCTTTAAGGCATAAAGATCATCAGTTGTAGAACTTGTATATGTATAACAATCAGTAACTATCACTTTTAAGCAAGCAAGTATGCTTTGCTGTAAAATATTGACATTTGTCAGGCAGAAAAAAAACTTTACAGGCCTCATTAGAATGTTCACATTCCAACCCATGCAGAAGCATACACCTATGATCTTTAAGATTTCCAATGAAGAAAACTTCACAAACTTTTAAGAACTTGTTTCTTATCCTCCACCAACAAGAGAATATTCAGGTCCTGAATTCATCAACAACAAAGAAATCTCAGCAACCAAAAGGCAATATGATAGGCTGGGAGACATTCATCCAGATTTACCTTGTAACAAGTTTGAAAGGAGAAGACTACTTTTCACACCTAACTTCCATCAGACATTTTGAAGAAATCAAAGAAACTCTGGACATCGTATTGGTCCAGTGTCAATATTCATATGCCTTCACATCAAAAGATGTGCAGGAAATATAAGACCCACCAGTCTTTCCAGATATCAACTTTCAACATTCTTCGTGAAGAAGAAAATCACCTATTTGTTCAAGTTGGCATAAACTTGTAAAGTCAGAGACTTGATGGGAGAAGAGATAGTAATAAACTCGATGTTCTTATTTAAACAATAATATACTGGATTTAATAAGGAGGGAAAAACATGGGGGGAGATACATGAAAGGTTTAACTGTCAAGAATTTGTATAGCTCCATCCACCAGGATCTCCGCAATTGTCTCTGTGAAGAGCAAGTCAGTTCTTGTTGACTATTGTAATTGTCTCAGCCTGCTAGTCTTACCTCCCTGTTATCAACCATGTTAACCTAGCATCTCTTAGGAGATATCTACGTCTCTTACCACATTTAATTTGATTAACCAGCCGTTGCTGCAATAAAGGATGTATGTCATCATCTAAAAATGTATGTTCTAATGGAAGTATATTTTGGGAGTCAATATTTTCTTATAGTTTTGGGTATAAGGTACAAGTTTTTTCCAGAAAGAACCAGCACTGTTCTCTCAGTATGTAATAAACTATTTCTTGTCATTCTTGTCTGCCAAAGATTTATTAGTGGTTAATCCTTAACCATTTAATATTATTGAGTCTTGTGGTCTAGTATTACAAGAAGAGTTATATCTAACCAAAGACATTCTTCGCAGAACTAGGTGCCATTTGAGGGCAGCCCTTACAAAAGGAAAGGGAAGGAAAGATTTATTTGGTGGTGGCGTTATGCGGGAGGTGGAGAAATTAGCAGGGGTAGAAACATAGGACAAGAAGAAGCTTATTAAAGTTCTTGGTTGGAGGGCAAGTGGGAGAATAGAAGTGTTGACATCTCCTGTCAATCACAGTTGTAGTGGGTGGGGATGAGGGGAGAGGAGATGTTTGGGGGTGAAGGCAGCCCTCATTTGAAGAAATAGAAAGACATATCAGAATCTGAAAGTTTTCCATCTTGTTAATTTCTCAACCTTCCCATTATTCTCATGGTTTTATCTCATTGACATCAGGGAATTTTAGATAACCGGAGACAACATTGTGCTGGGTGTTATAACCAGAAGGCATAGTTAAATCTTCAATCACTTTACTAACAAGAGAAGTAGCTGATTGCTGAGCTGTTGGTGAATACCTATTTTTTATTTAATCGGTCAGGTCAATAGTCTGATTAAAAAAACAGACTTAACAGGGTAGCTTAGACCTGTGGAGTGTCCATAATTCTCCAATCCAAGATAACCAGATATGCAGGACTGAATTCAGCGGCGGCAGCAGCTGAAACTGCATGTTTTCAAGTGTGAACAGCAGCAGGTGTTACTGCAGAGTTGAGAGGTTTATATGTAGTACATTTATTGATGTGGTCACTCTGCAATTTTAAGGTATGCAAGCAGAGAAGGAATGGATAACTGTCAGGTAGTGAAGATCGTCCAGGAAGGCAGTTCAAGATAACCTTGAGTAAATTCTCACTATTTTGAATATAATGTGAATGATCGTTCCTTTGGTGTGTCCAGCCAGCTTCTAGTCCTTGCTACCAAGCTAACTCACCTCTACAGGAGAAGCAGGAAGATTATTGGAAAAGCATTAGACATCAGGGATTCAATAGCTATTGGAACATACAGAATTTTTTCTGGCTGCAGACAAGAATGCAAGATAAATTGCCTCTTTAGCACCAACGTCAAGGGTGTCACTGAATGGCTATAAAACGCTCTCAACGTGCTGGATAAATAGCCAGCCCTTATGGCTGCTATCAGTATTAAAGATGTAAGTAAGAAAGTAGGATGATGTCCTCCAGAATGGATTAGGGACCTTAGAAAGAAGCCAGCTAGCAGGAGCGCTCAATGGTAGTAATTTGCAAATTAGTCCCAGTAACATAAACTAGTGTTTAGGAGGTTAGGGGTCATGGTCGCCTAAAGTGTGCTTGGTGAGATGGTTCAGGAAGGAGGACTTTGGATATCTGAGACTTTGGGACTGGTTCTTGGGAGGTGTGACCTGTGCACCTTAACAGAGTCAGGATCAATGTTCTTACAGGCCTATTTGCTACTGCTGCTGCTGGGGACGATTTAAACCGTGTGGGCGGAGGTGTGGGAACCAGGAGGTGACATAAAAGAGGAAGATGAAAATATATAGAGGATTAGGATAGGCAAATAGCACTAGGATAAAAAATGGTGTCAGTTTGGGTCTGGGTAAGAGGAAATGTGCTAATGTCTAAACTATATTTACTCTTAAGAATGTGTGTGTAAATGTGTTAGAGCATGGTAAATAAGACTGGTGAGCTCCAGATGCAGGTAGCCACATGGAAGTATGATGTTTTAGTGATAACAGAGGTCTGGCACAATAAAGGGCAGGGTGTGGTATTAAATACTCCTCAATATGAGGCATTCAAGAAAAAGAGGGAACGAAAGATAAATGGAGGAATAGTTGTACTGATTAAGGAGAACGTCGTAGTGTTAAAAGAGGCAGAGGATCTCCTAAAGGTGTTCAGTACAGAAACTATTTTGTTAGCGCTAACAAACAATAGTAATACCAAATAAAAACTGAAAGAACTGCGGACGTTGTAAATCAGGAACAAAAACAAATTTGCTGGAAAAGCTCAGCAGGTCTGGCAGCATCTGTGAAGGAAAAACAGAGTTAACGTTTCGGGTCCGGTGACCCTTCCTCAGAACGCTGCCAGACTTGCTGAGCTTTTCCAGCAACTTTTGTTTTAGTATCACTACGTTGTTGGGTGTATTCTATCAGACGCTAAAGTGAAAAATATAGAGAACAAATTTGCATCAAAATTACAGAGATGTGGAACAATGAAGCAAGAGAATTGCAAAAGTTATTGTTCAAGAAAGAGTATAAGAATTGCAACTACAGGAATGTCATTTTAAACATTTTAATCAACCTGTTCAGATATATCATGACACACCTATATTTAGTACGTGCAACTTAAAACTTTGAGCTCCTGGTCAAAGTAGGGGTACGAGGACCACACTGCAAGAGCTCAGTTCAGTCATTTTAATCTTGGTGATGACAAAACTTTCAGAAATGACAAGGTTACGGCTCACTTGAACAAATGAAAGTTAATTAAAGAAAACCAGCTTGGATGTGTTAAAGAATATCTGTTTTTTTCACTGTCCCCAATCCCCAAAGACAGACAACCTCATCCTTGCATTCACTGGGATTAAAATTCTCCGAAGGTTGATGACCTTTTGTCAGAACAAATGATAATCATGCATTTCCAATACATTGAATTAATCAGATTTTATAATTTGCATTTATCTGCATTTGTTAAATTGCGTAATGTTTTTCCACATTGAGAATTCAAGCGATATCTCAATCACAGCGTGTGATTGGTGGTTTGCGCCAGTAGGTGGTGGTGTGTGCGGAGTTCTCCACATTCCTGTTGTGGTCCTTCTTGCTCCTCTCCTTCCGTTCCTATCCGGGAAGAGGAGCTGCTGTGGTAAAATTTGGGACTTTGCTGCAAAATGAAGTGAGTAGGAGATTAAATTGATCTAGTTGCTGGTTTAACAAACAGCATCATTAAAGGGAGTAAATTACCTGTCCGGTATGAACGTAAGAGGTTTCTCTGAGTTACTTCAAGGTGGTGAATGATCAGTGGCAGGATCTTTTTTATTTAAAATGTCCACCGTTCCTGAAAAGAAGGAGGCTGCTTTCAGCACCAACTCCTTAATTCTTGGAATTATTTAAGTAAAACACTAAAGACGGTTAATGACAGTGGTTTGATCGGAATAAAACGTGGCCAAAAGTATCTGAGTAGAATTGTTTATCAACAGAAGTTTCAACGTGAAACGAATCAATCATTAATAAAACCGTGGAAAGGTTAATAACTTGGCATGACCATAAATGTGAATGAAATGGTAGCTGCTGCTTTGTCAGTCACTGTATTTTTGTCCTTTGGAACACCCTCTGCCTTGACATTTTTCTTTCAACAATCTCCCAAAAGCCTTTCTGTCTCCTTATGTTTCCAGTTTCCCTTTCCATTCCCATTATCATTTCCTGTAGCCTGTGAAGCATTTTCATGGATTTTCACAGAATATGAGGAGTATAATGTGGGTTATTGAACGAGGATTCAGCTAGTCTGGTCAGTAAAACAACACTCAACACTGATTTAGAGGGCCTTTGGAAGAGTTTAAAGATGAAGTACGGAGCTTGGGAGAACTGGTGAACAAAATAAAATAGACAACCGTAAATCCAGTGGAGAAAACCGTGAGCTTCTTCAAACTAGGCATTTGTGGAAGAGAAGTGACTGTAAACTAAAATGAAAGCAAACATGTAGAAATTCAAAATAGCACTGGAAAATGCTGGAAACAGTTCTGTCCTACCATTTAATGTACCCTCAACTCTGTTCAAGACTTCTTTCATTTTGAAATGAATATAGTTTGCACCCAAATCAGATGCTCCTGCCTCTCATTAGATCAACTGGACAAAGTCTATTGTAAATGACAGTTATGTAAGTGCATGTTGTCTGGGAAACACTGAGCAGTAGTCTGCACTCAACCCAACAATATTACAAATACCAGCTTGGCCAAATATCCACTTGAAGTTAATATATTTAAAGTTATTTTATTTTATTTAATTTAATTTATTGCTGGAAAAACTCAGCAGGTTTGGCAGCATCTGTGGAGAGAAGAATTTCAGTTCTGAAGAAGAGTCAGTGGACCCAAAACATTAACTCTGATTTCTCTCCACAGATTCTGCCAGATGTGGTGAGTTTTTCCAGCTGTTTCTGATTCTGATTTCTAGCATCTGCAGTTTTTTTCATTTTTATTATTGTTTGTAGAATCAGAATGTAATCTATGGAAATTTCCTCTGGTAGAATATGTTTTTTTTTCAATATGTGTAAAATGCTTTTTATTAATTCATGGGATGTGGGAATCGCTGGCAAGGTCAGCATTTACTACCAAGCATCAGTTGCCCTGTAGAAAATGGCAGTGAACCTTCAGCTACTGTGCTCCTTGGTGTTTCCTCTGGCCCATCCTTGTGCTAATGAGGTATCTGTTCTAGGATTTTGACCAATGATAATGAATAGCTCATATCCAAATCAGAATTTTGTGTGTTTTGAAAGAGAACTTGAGGGTGGTGGTGTTCCCATGCATTTTCTGCCCTTGTCCTTCTAGGTAATAGAAATCAAGGGTTTGGAAGGTAGAGTCTAAGCAGTTTGGGAAGTTGTTGCAAATGCATCTTGTAAATGGTATGCACTGCTGCCACTATATGTCACTGGTGAAAGAAGTGAATGTTGAAGGTGTTAGATGCGGTCGCAATCAAACAGGCAATATTTGGACAGAGGCTGCCTTAGTATCGGAGGAGTTGCAAATGGTGCAGAAATTGTGCAGTCATCAGTGAAGGACCTCACTTCTGACATTTACAATGGAGAGAAGGTTGTTGAAGATGGTTGGGCCTAGGACACTACCCTGAGTAACTCCTGTGGCTCAGTTGATTGACTCCAACAACACAACCACCTTCCTGTATGCTAAACAGCAGGGAGTTACCCTCTCCCCCTCCGATTCCCATTAACTCCAGTTTACTGTGGCTCCTATGCTATACACAGTCAAATGCTGCCTTGATATAAAGGTAGTCACCCTTACTTCCTCTCTGGAGTTCAGCTGTTTTCTCCATGTTTTGACTTAATCTGCAGTGAGGTCAGGAACAGAGTGGTCTGTTAGAGCCCAAGCTGAGAGTCAGTGAACAAATTGTTGTTGAGTAAGTGCTGCTTGAAATCACAGATGGTGATGGTGCTTACTATCATTTTGTTGGAGGATAGACTGATGAGATGGAATTGTTGGGTGGGATCTGTCCTGCTTATTATGGATAGGATGTAATCAGGAAATTATACATATTGCTGGATAGATCCCGGTGTTGTAGCTGTAGTGGAAGAGCTTAGCTAGGGTTGCTGCTAGTTCTGAAGCGTAAGTCATGAGTAGTACTGTTCGAATGTTGTCCAGACTAACTACCTTTGCAGTGTCCAGTGACCAGTTTTTTTTTGACATTATGTGGAATAAATTGAACTGGGTGCAGCTGGCACCTGTGATGTTGGGGACCTCAGGAAGAAGCCAAGATAGATCATCCACTTGACACTTCTGGCTTAAACTGTAGGCAAATGCTTAAGCCTTCACGTTGATCTGCTGGGTTCCCAATCATTGAGATGGAGATCCTTGTGGAGCCGCCTCCTCCAGTGAATTGTTACATAGTCCACCACCATTCACAACTGGATGTGGCAGACTACAGAGCTTAGATCTCAAGACGGATGCCTTTGTCATTGTCCCACAGTCTAATTAAACAACTGCCTGATTCTCAATTTGAGCTCCATCAGGATTACTCAGCTGCTGACCTCAAGTGTTCTGAGGTAGGGTCACCAGACCCGAAACGTTAACTCTGATTTTTTCTTCACAAATGCTGTCAGACCCACTGAGCTTTTCCAGCAACTTCTGTTTTTGTTCCTGATATACAGCATCGACAGTTCTTTCAACCTTAATACGAGGTTGGTCCAAACATGGACAAAAGAGTTGCGGTGAGATAAAAGTGACTGCCCTTGACATAAACACAGCATTTGACCAAGTATGGCTTTAAGGAGCCTTGGAAAGCCTGGAGTCGGTAGGAATAAGATGGCATATGTTTGCTGATTACAATTATACCTAGCAAAAAGAAAGATGGTCGTGATTGTTAGACATCGAACATCACAGCCCTAGGGCATTTCTGCAGGAACTCCTGATGTTAGATATTTTCTAATCAATGTGTTCGGAGATGTTATCATATATTTCTCTGGAGCAGGTGGGACTTGAATTCCTGAGGATAAACATTTTAATCGCCCTGTTTAGGCATGTTATTACGTACTTCGGGAGCAGGCTGGACTTGAACCCAGGCCTTCTGGTCTAGTGGCAGGGTCACTTCCACTGCAGCACAAGAGCCCCCAAAGAGCATAAACGTCTTCCTTCCTTTCTAAATATTTTTAATCAGTCCAGAGATACCCCTGGAGCAGGTGGGACTTGCACCTGGAGCTCCTGGTTCAGAGATAAGGGCAGTACCACTGCACCACAAGAGCCCTAATTCCTGAGGGTGGTGTCTGAGACCCAACGATTTTCAGCTGTTTCATCAATAATCTTTGCTCCATCACAAGGTCAGAGCTGGGGATGTCCATTGATGTGCAATCATCAGTGCTCCAATGTTCAGCATCTTTCACCACATCTCGGATACCGAAGTGTCCAAATGCAGCAAGATATTAACAATATCCAGGGATGGACAGATAAATGGTAAGTAATGGTCACCTCACACAAGTGTAGGGTAATGATCATCTTCAGCAAGAGAGGATCCAATTTTCTCCCCTTGACATTCAATGGAATTATCTCAATGAGTGCCAACTATCAATATTCTGGAGGTCACCTTTTACCAGAAAGTAAAACAGGCTAGCCAGTAAATACTGTGGCCACAAGAGTGGGTCAGAGGCTAGGAATTATGCAGAGAATATGATGACGTACTCTCCAGTTGTCTTTTTGAGTTCGTGTCAACAACAAAATGCTTGACATCGGACAGTATGAAACAGCATGCTTCATTAGCATTCCATTCATCACCATCAACGTTTACTGCTGTCACCATTGCACAGTGGCAGTAGTGTCTACCATCTAGAAGAAGCGCTGAAGTAATTCATCAAGGCTCCTCTGAGAGCATCATCCAAATCGGCAACTTCTATCACCTAGAAAGACTAGGTTAGTAAATTCATGGGAGCCCTGTCAACTGCAAGTTTCCCTCCAAACCACACAGTATCCTGCTTTGGAAATGTAATGCCATTGCTTCACTGTTACAGGGTCAAAAGTCTGGAATCCCTTCCTAACAGAACTGTAATATGCCTACAACCTTAGTAGTTTATGAAGGAATCTAGGGATGGGCATTAAATAATGGCCAGTCAGCAATGCGCACATTCTACGAGTGAGTAAAAAATAAATCTCCTCACCACATTCCTAGGTCAATTGGGAATGGGCAATAAATGCTGTCCTAACCAGCAATGCCACATCCCATGAACAAATAAAAGGAATGCGTGAGTTTTTTAGAAATTAGATACAACTTGCTTGGCTGTTTCAGAGTGCGTTTGAGAGTCCATTATATTGCTGTGGATCTGGAGTCAATATAGTTTAGAATGGAGGAAGATGGCAGATTTTCCTTCCCTAAAGGACTATTGTGAACCAGATGGATTTTTAAGACCGTTGGCAATAGTATATGGACAGCATTTGAATAATTCTTTTTCTTCCAGACTTATTCATTTACTTCAAATTTCATCATCTGCCAAGGTGAAATTCGAACCCATGTCCTCAGAGCATTAGACTGTACCAACCGACTACTGCACAACCACCTCCCCTCATAAAGAGTTAAATAAAATTTGGTTTTGTGTTCATAAAACCAGGAAAGGAAGTGTATCTTCTGAGATCTCATGAGCAGTGAGTGAGTACAGGCAGCTGATTCTGTGATCCTTGATCATATCTCTTTACCATCATGAGATAAAAGCAATGAGGTGTTTTATAAGAAACTGAAACCTGTAATCAGGTGGCTCCAGTATCCTGCCTTGCCTTCATCTTCCCTTAGCTTAGGGCTTTCCTGTTTGCGAACAGGTAGTAAAAGGCCAGTCCTTCACTGCATGAGGGAGTGGGTATCATCTGTAGATGTTTCGAAGTGGATCCCATGTCTATGGGTAAGGTCGCTAAGGCTCAAATTACTGTTGAAGGAGGAAACCATTTGTGCGTCCTTGAGTATGGAGATGATGCCAGTACTAGAGATGTTCTGGCAACAATTAAATTGTTAAAAGTAGGTTAGGCAATCACACTCTCTAAGTTGGATATAGAGAAGCATTTGAATGAAATTAACAGCTGTGCTGAAGCCTGCATGGATTTCTAGAAGGTATTATCCAAATCTTGAAATGTAATGTAATAAAATTGGGATTTTTTTTCCACCTTTGATGAGCTACTTTAACTCTGGGCCAGCTTTTAGGTTGCAATTTTTATTATTGAAGCGCTTGTCATTTGGCTTTTGTGAGTTATCAAGTATGGGCCCATTTAATGTGACCATAAAGCAATACTAAAAGGCTTTTGTGGTGCAGTGGTAGTGTCCCTATCTCCAGCCAAAAGGCCCATGTTCAAGGCCCATCTGCTCCAGAGTTGAGTCATAACATATCTGAACAGGTTCATTAAAGTATCTATAATGATATGCTGAGATATTTCATTGAGAGACTAGGAACAAGAACAAACAAGCCTGTCCAGTCAATTTTGAGGAAGCATTTTTGTTGAAGGCATATAGTGTGATATGAGGTAAGGAAAAGATTAAAAAAACAAGAATCAGGATTTGACAAGCAGTGTTGTAAGCTGGGCATCCCGTAGAGTTAAGCAAAAGCTGGAACGGTTGGTGAATCTGACTGTGTGCAGAATAGATTGTGGTTACTAATCTGCAGGGTGAGTTTGCGTTTATGTATCACGGAGTCTGGGAGCATACAGAGAAAGCACTGGAGACATCAAGCCTGGAGGTGACATACATGGGATTGAGCAGTGTAGTCTGAATGGATGAAACTGAGACAGTACAGTAACTTTCAAAGTTAGAAGTTGGTCTTCTGGTGATGAATATGGAAGTAGTTAACCTAAAATGATCTATCATTTCCCTTGATTCAATTTGGTATGTTAAAAGTTTCCATCATTGGAGATGATCATTCCATCAAGGCAGGGTCAGTTTTCCCTTCTAATAAAAACTAGGCCAAAAACTACTTACACAAATGCCAAGATAAAAATGTAATTGTGTCCTGCACAAATAACCAGTCAGAAAGGGAAAAGGTCTCAGGATGTAAATATTTTTCCATTTACAATGGATTCCCCCTTACCATCTCCGATACCAACCTTTCTATCTCGCCACTGGCCACTCATCTCCATTACCCTAGTCTCAGATCCTCCTATCTCTCTCTGGCTCAAGACCACAGTCTCCTAAGTTTACCAACCTTAAAGTCAGCCAGTATTATTTCCAACACCACAACACAAATGCCAGGCAATGATCATCTCCAAAAAGAGACAACCTAACCATTGATACTCAATCATCTTACCATCTTTGAATCCCCTACTAACAACATCCTGGGGGTTATCATTGAATTGGATTCCCATATAAATGTTATGGCTACAAAAGCAGGTGAGAAGCTAGGGAAATTGCAGCAAGTAACTCGCCCACTGACTCCCAAGAGCCATCTACAAGGCACAAGTCAGGAGTGTGATAGAATATTCCACACTTGTCTGGATGAGTGCAGCTCCAACAACACTCAAGCTTGACACCATCCAGGACAAAGCAGCCGACTTGATGGGCACCACAAATCAAGCACTCCCTCCACCACTGACACTTAAGTAGCAGCAGTGTACTATCTTCAAAATGCAGTGCAGAAATTCTCCACAGATCCTTAGACAGCACCTTTAAAACCCATGATACTTTCGTCTTGAAGGACGAGGGCAGCAGAAACATGGGAACACCATCACTGCAAGTTCCAAAGCCACTCACCATCTTGACTTGGAAACATGTCACCATTCCTTCGCTAAAATCGTGGAATTCTTTCCCTGACAGCATTGTGGATCTACCTACAGCACATGGACTGCAGTAGTTCATGAAGGCAGCTGTCCATCACCTTCTCAAGGGTAACTAGGGAAGGGTAATAAATACTGACCCACCAGTGACACCCACATCACATGATTGAATTTTTAAAAAAGAACATGTAGACTTGGCAAATTTCTGTTTTATTTGAGTACCATAGTCTTGGTGCACTTTATGATTAATTTGTTCTGTACTTAGTCCACTCACAAAAGTGAAGCTCATCAATGAGCTAAACGCAAGGGAGGTGGAGTTGGGTGTACAAGATAAAGTGTCCTGGCATTCAGAGTACAAGGACAGTGCATGGATCTTTCTGGGTAAGTGAAACCTTTTCCAGGTTCCAATGTGTTGTTTTTTCAGTGGCTACTGTAACCTTGTGTCTCATAGAATTTTTTTTTGAATTCCGGCAGTTTAACAGGCAGGACTGAAGCAGATTTCCTTTTTGAGAAGATTAGTAGAAATAAAGATTTTCTGTGTGATAGGTGTTACTTGTTATCTTTCCTTGTGTGCCATAATTCTGAACATGTTTCCCATGAAGCTCAGTTTCAGGTACATTTGAGTACACACTTCGTATAAGTACACACTTCATATAAGGACACACTCCTGATTTCATTCATGCCACCTTGGTATCTCCAAATGAATACAAGAATCTGCCTGGCAAGAAGCAAGATAGTTACAGGACTGATACATTGAAAGACTACATGTAGAAATATGTAATGCCTGTTTTGATATGAGAAGAACTCTCCACAGACAGTCACCCAAGGCTGGAATTGAACCCAGGTCCCTGGCACTGTGGGGCAGCTTGCTAACCACTGAGCCACTGTGCTGCCCAAATATCCTCGAGTGTGTTTTCTCTAGAGCAAGTCTTTCCTTCTTATAATGTGACCAGACTAAGTAAACAACTCCAGTTGAGGCCTAGCCATTCTGTTATATATTTCCTTGCACTTGTATTCAATATCAGCCCAATAATGGACATCATCCATATGCTTTCTTTACCACCTTATCCACCTGTCGTTCCACCTTCAGGGACCTGTGGACATACTTTGCAAGGTCCCTCATTTTTGTGCATTCCTTTCATTTGTTTGACATCTCCAAATGAATCACCCCCCCAATTCCTCTGAATTAAATTCCATTTGCTACTTTGTCACCCTCTAAACCAAACCATTGATATCTTCTTGCAGTCAACAGCCATCCACTTTACTGTCAACTACATGGCCAATTTTTCAATTGTCCGTGAATTTCCCAATGATGTTTCCCATATTTCAAGTCTAAATTACTAATATATACCACAAACAGCAACAGACCCAAAGCTCAGCCCTGTGGCACAACATCGGATACAGCTTTCCATTCGCAAAACTGACAATTGAACATTACACTTTGTTTCATGTCACTGAGCCAATTTTGGATCCAACTTGTCACAGTCCCATGTATCGCTTAGGCTTTAATTTTTCTTAGCATTACCATGCAAGACCTTGTCAAGTACCTTACTAAAATCCACACGAATAACATGTCCTGCACTACTCTCATCAATTTTCCTTGTTACTTCCTCAGAAATTCAATTATGTTAGTGAGGCATGACAAAGCAGTGATGGCTATCCCTGACCAATCCATGCCTTTCCATGGAGCAGTTAATTTTGCTTCTCAATATTGATTCAAGTAATCTTTCCACCACTGAGGTCAATTTGACTAGCCTATAATGATTTGGCTTATCCCTTGCACTTTTCTTGGATAGTAATAAAATGTTTGCAGACCTCCAATCTTGTAGTACCTCACCTGCATCATGTGAAAAATAGGAAATGATCCTCAGAGCTTCCACCATTTCCTCCCCTGCTTTCTTTAACAACCTGGAATACAATTCATCCAGAGCTGGATAAATGTAATTTAGCTTTTAGTTTAAATTTAAAGCCTTGGGGGAGTCTTAGTTCCTTAAAAATGGTAATTATATGTTCTCTATTTAAATGTTTGTTATTAATAAACTGACTAAAATTATTTTGGTTAGAGAAATGGTTATACCATTGTAAACTTTAATTCACTTCTGCAGTGATCTGGTCCTATCTGTCTCACTTTGCAATATTAAAGGTATTTATTGCCCACTTCTTCTGCACCTTCTTTCATTTCTGATTCATCAGGTGTCTTCAATTTCTTCTAACTACCCCACCCATGATTTATTAACTTATATAACAGTTCTCATAATTCAAAAACAAAGTCTATTCGATTAACTTGTCATGACCAGCTCTAAATGCCTGTCTGAAATAAACAAGATTCTTTTTGACTTCTCCAACCAAACTTCTTTCACTGCTGAAAACAGCCTATTCCTTGGCCGTTTCTAATAATAAAAAGGAACTAAGGCACAAACAGACTTTTTAATATCTTACAGTCAAATCCCTTCAGTAAGTTGACCTGTCGATCAGTTCTGCCCCAAGGCTGGAATCCTTCCGTTCTAATCCTAGATAATGAAAGTCTTCAACTGTTGTTGAATCTAATGGAATTAGCTGGGTCATGAGTTGATTTCTCCTGGGTTACAAAGAACTCCTTTTAAGATAATTGAATGGGTGGTGTCTCCTTGTAAAGACTTACTGCTGACAGTTGCAAATTACATGAAAGGAGAGTTTTTACTGCTGTTCACTGTTGTCAAAAAGTTTTCTAGGTTAAACAATTTAGATGCTTAGCAATTAGAAATACTTTAAAGATCGAATAATCAAAAATTTATTTAAACATTAGCTTCACTAACACTTGCTTTGTTCCTGTACTGCACTTGTATGTGGCTTTTTGCATCAAATATTTAAAAATCTGAGTATTGTTGACCTCATGCTAGTCTATAGATTTCACCCCAACATGTAGGTTAGGAATGATGCTGATTCCAACTCTGGTGTGCACAAGAAAATAAGAAATGAGTGGGTAATGCCATTTAACTCCTCATGTCTACTCCACCCATTCACTTAGATCAAGGCAGATCTTTTATCTCGGCTTCACTTTCCTGCTTGATTCCCATATCCCTCAATTTCCTTTTTAAGGTTCAAATGCATATCAACCTCAGCCTTAAATAAAATCTTTAAACAGACTATCAATATTATAAAAAAAAGGAACAGGCTAGGAAATGGTGAGGGATTATGAACACTAGCCTGCCCCTATTTTCCTATAACCATGAGGGCTGCTTGTTAGCCTGCTTTTTACTTGTAGAATCCCATGTTCTTTGCCTCTTTGCTGCTGATTGGCCTGTTTGCAATACTATCTCTCATCCAATAGTTGTAACTAATGTTAAAATAGAGGCAAGTGAGAAGACTGAGAAAACAAAAGACTATTAATGAGCTGGGCACAGGAATGTAAGAGGTAATGGTATCTTAACCATGCCTAATGCACAGCAGCACCCCCTTTCTTAGGCATTAGGGTTTCATTGAGGTTCACAGCCTGAAGTAGGATAAAGTGCAAAGAGGGTTTGGTAACATTGTGGAACAGCACTAATAGAGCTCGTTCTTGTTAAGAGTTAATTCTTGAAATCTATGCCATGGCACCCTTTTTGTAGCTCACTTACCAGGTGTCACTTCAGTTGGGCTGAGTGAAGCACTCTCGGAGAAGGGGAAGGGATTTGTTTCAGAAAATTACACTTAAGATGTTCTGTAGTGTTTATTGCTTTGAGTGAAACTACTAATGCACTTAGGAGATGGGTATAAGGATTCAAATGCCAATGACAAACCAAAAATAATCATAAAGCTAGATTTTATATATTAGCTCATAAGACTTAGGAGCAGAATTAAGCCATTCAGCCCATTGAGTTTGCTCTACCATTAGATCATGGCTGATATGTTTCTCAACACCATTCTCCTGCCTTCTCCCTGTAACCCTGGATCCCCTTACCAATCAAGATCCTATCTACCTCTGTCTTAAATACACTCAATGACGTGGCTGCCACAGCTTTCTGCAGCAGTGAGTTCCACAGATTCACCACCCGCTAGCTGAAGAAGTTCCTCCTCATCACAGTTCTAAAGGGTTGTCCCTTAACTCTGTGCCTCTGCCCTTGGGTCCTAGTCTCTCCTTTTGGTGGAAACATATTCTGCATGTCCACTCTATCCAGGCCTCTCAGTATTCTGTAAGTTTCAATCAGATTCCCCCCTTATTTTTTCTAAACTCCATTGAGTAGAACCCCAGAATTGTTTCACAGGGTACTGCTTCTTATAGTGCTGAACATAATCACTACAAAACCAGTCATTAAGGGTTTCTCAGTTCAATTTCACACGTGGAAAAAATCTGGCAGTTAGATATTGAGTCATAGGTATGTGCAATGTGTTTTTAATAGACTTGCATATTAACAGCCTGGATTATGTAATCAGAAGATTAAATAATATAAATTTCTTTTGGAAAATGGGTGTGACTATCAACCCAAGATCTTGTACTTATTAAATTGTGCATGGTACTGAATATATAGAGGTCTTGACTTTGGTAGTGCCAGCATTAAATGTAAGGGTATGATTTTCCATGTAAGTATGCTCTGTTTTTTCTTAGGTGGCTTGCCCTATGAATTAACTGAAGGAGACATTATCTGTGTGTTTTCACAGTAAGTATTACTTTTCCTTGCTAATTTTGCTGATGTTAGGTACTATGCTGAAATGGAGCTTCTCCAGTATTGCTCCACTTACATTCCTCAACCAAGTGACCAGGCTATTTAACCATGGGTGCAGCACTTTTAAATCCAACCCAGTCCCTTTTTAATGTTTATCCCCACGCATTCACGGCTGAGTCTGTTGGCTATTGGAATAGATACTCTTGACTAGATTTTCTCTCTCAGACATAGTTGCTTCTGCCACTGCCTCAGGCAGGACCAACTAGCAGTGCACACCATTGGAGATTGAACCTGGAACTTTTATGGTCTGTTATGAGAGCTTACTGTATGCAAATGCACTGCTATGCTTCCAATATCACTACAGTGTTAACACAAAGTATTTCGTTAGCTTTAACCTGTTTGGACCATGAAAAGCCATTTATAATTGCAAATCTTTTTCATTTCTCAAAAACATTATCATGAACATATGTGCTTGATTTTAGATTATTATTTCTGGATTGGTTTAAAAAAAAAGATATGGTTTTGTGCCAGTAGGTGGCATAATGTTACAGCTTTAGCATCATCCTGCCATTTGGTTGCAATGTTGTGACCTGCAGGGATTTGGAAACCAGGAGAGTATATTAGAGAGTAAAACTAGCCTCCACTAAATACTGAGAGAAACCGAGAATATTGTACAGAATGTTGACGAGTCAGAACGTTAGGTTTGGAGAATGTTGCATAGATGTCAGTAATCTGTGGAGAGACTTGTAACCAAAGATAAGAATTAAGTACATAAAAGGGAGTGAAGATTAGTAAGGGACTGACTGATCAGTCAGCAGGACTTAGCATCTAAGTTAGAATGAAGTAGATTTAGTGGAGGTTGAAGCAGAGATGTATTTATTGATGTCACTTACAGCAAGAATATGTGGACATAGCATCAGGAAGCAGAAAGCTAGAGTAACAGCTCTCTTCTCAGTTTTCCTGTAATTTCTGCACAAGAAAATCTTCTCTAAGAACTTTAGAGCAGAGCTTTAAAGGGTGATACATTTGAAAAGGGAATAGACATGAGGAAAGGAGAGGGAGAGACCTAATGGGCATTTGACAGTGACAGTCATACATCTGCTCTGGATAGTTTAGAGAGATAACGTGAATGAAAGTACATCTGGGTAAGGTGGCCTTTGAACAGAAGGAACCGTCAACTGTGAATCACTGTTCCATCAAGCCAAGCATTAGCCAATTATTCCCGGATGCGATACTGGGTAGGGAATGCTTTGCTGGTGAGAGTGGACATTTAAGGGAATATGTCACAGCAGGCAGCCAGCCAGAGATATTGGAGACTGCAGATTAATGGGAAAAAGAGTAAGAGAGGCTAACTCTTTGTGAAAGGGCTGAGTCAGAGCCTTACTAAACAAAAGAAGAAATATTTACAGATCAGACTGCAGTGGAGGATCTGGTTAAGTGCAACCTCTGATAAAAGTAGAGGTGGGTAACCCAGAGAGATGGGTTAAATGCTGTAAACCATTGACCTTCATTTGATAGGTACGGCGAGATTGTTAACATCAATTTAGTTCGCGATAAGAAGACTGGAAAATCAAAAGGCTTCTGCTTTATCTGTTATGAGGATCAGAGAAGCACCATTTTGGCTGTGGACAACTTTAATGGAATCAAGGTGGGTATGAAAGTAAAAGGTGGAATCGTTAAAAGGATGAACAATAGGTGTTGTCTCACCTCTTCCAGGTGGCCCATTTCAAAGGCTGATGATATGTTTGCTTTCTTGACTGTAGGTAAGTCAGCCTGAAAATTGAAGTAAATGACAAGATTAAAGTATCTTGGAAATATTCCACATATAAAATTAAGACCACCTTGTGAACAGAACAGTAGTTATAAAATAATTACATTTAGAAATATAAAATCTAAAATAGTTTTTCAAGTATCACAAAAAGCTAGCACTTTGCCCAGTTTAGTGAATGTATGTCTGCTTTTCTTGTAACACAATATCAGAGAAAGTAAGAATGTGTGAGATACTAGGAAATACCTCATTTACTAGTTCCTGCAATTAATCATGTAGTTCTACCCGATAAATCCTTCCCTTCACCTCCCTGCTTTTAGATTAACTTTGCCTATAATTCTAGAAGACGTTGACTCATTCTGGCTACAGTTCAGTGGTCAGTAGCATGTTCAAGTAGCTTTTACCAAGTGACCAATGTACCTGTGATCCTTGGTAGATGATATAGATGTGGACCTTTATCTTCATACACACGTCCTTCCAGTGGTTGTCCTCTGGATACCTGAGTGAGCCCTGGCTGAGATCAATTAGAGCTCCTCTATTGCCACTACAATTAGGTAACTTGTGGTGTTATGATCAAATGGATCAAACTTGGCACCTTCTTGTGTTGATTGAATGCATAAAGAATCTGGGTTCAAATATCCAGTAGAATTTGAGGCTTCTGAATTACTGCTTTTTTGGTTTGCATGTACACAGTGTGTTTTGTGATGGAGTGACAATGCCACCATAGGACAGTAGCTGTTTCTAGTTATAATGTATCAATTTTGCTGTCCCATTACAAGATTTTTTCAAAATGAAACTGAAATCAATTCACTAATACATTGACATACGTTAAAAAATATTATTCATGTCATACATTAGCATTAATACAGGGAGAAAGTTGTTTTTATTAGGTTGTAAAACATATTAAGAGTTTCCTGTCCTTTGTAATGAAGGAGGCGACAACTGCTCATTAATAAAGGACTTCAATTTGCATGTGAACATATTCCAGTATGGCAACCTAAAAGTTACCATACTCTGAGACCAGATATGCAAGAAGTTTGGGATGCAGTTGGCAATACCTCTCTCTATTTTCTGCCTTCAGCATGCTCCTTCATCAGACACCATGTTCTTTCTATTTTGTTGATACTACTATGACCATGTTACTTTGGACTGCCTTTTCTTGTAAACTCCTTGTACAGCATCTAACATGCTCTTTAATCTCTTACTGTTGGCAGGGAGATTCAATGCAACTCTCTTTGGAATTTTACATTCAGATTGTTACATTGGAATATGACTAAAGCTGATTTTGTGTAATATTTTTGCTTGGTGCCGTGAACATCTTGAACTTTTCTATGATTCATGTCACACACCATGGGTGTGTATTACAATGAAGTTTTGTAAACCCGGATTGGAAGAATATCTTTTTGCTATGTCCCATTATTATGTGGTTGTTAAAACATTTAATAAAGCTCATGCTGGTTTATTATAATTAATTTGAATTTTTATAATCTATCACATGCTCGGAAAGTATTCTTATTTATGCTGTGTTCAAATCTACTGGTATTGTAATTACATGAGGGTGAGGTTCTAGTTCAGTCAATCATGTGGAATGACTATTCTTAGTCATGAAAGAATGGGCTGCAATAAATGGAAGCAGCTTGTTTCCAGTACTTGAGTAACAAGAAACCATAGACACTTGAAGGATTTTGGGAATGTGGTAGGTAATCATGATTAGAACTCTCTGCTATATGGACTTGTTTGTCTATTTTGTTGTTGTAACTTATGTTTACATGCTCCATTTAGATTAAGGGAAGGACCATCCGTGTTGACCATGTAGCCAATTACCGTCCTCCAAACGATGGAGCTGATGTTGATGCTGTGACTAAAAGACTGAGAGAGGAAGGCTGTGCACCTAAAGCACCTCCATCAGCATCAGATTCCTCAGAGTCCTCTGAAGAGGATGTTAGCTCAGTGCCAGCAAAGAAACAGAAGAAAGGTATGTGAAGTGAAATGCATGGGTCAGCTTAAGGGATGGGATTTTATTAGAATTTTGGGTTTGAGCATATTAGATGATAGAGTTTTTGGATCACTGATTCACAGAAACTGTCACTGGTATACTGGTTTTATAATGTGGAATTGTAACTGCAGTCCAATATTTGAAGAATGTCAGTAGAGTTCAAACGCTTCAAGACTGGATTGATTTTGGAATTGGGTGATGGAGTGAATTAGTAACTCAACTTTTGACCACTAGGTCAGGTCAAAATCCAGCCTGAACATGGGATGAAAATCCTGTGGTAGCACTGACTAAGAAAGAGACCTGCACCAAATACATTTGGCCAGTCCCTGTTGAAATCCAAGCACCTAACGGAGCACTGCAAAAGAACGCTAATTCAGTATAAATTAGCAATCTTGGCCGGAAGGGTTTCCAAAATGGCCAGTGTGAGAAATGAACTGATTATGCCTGGTGGACTGCTGAGTTTGGCACATAATGTAGAGTTTTTATGTGCTACAGCCTATCCAAAAATCCTTCATACTAACTTCGAGAAATGCTTATAAAGGAATAATTCCATCCCTTAAAGTTTACATTGTCCCTTTTGGTGAGCTATAATTCACAATGTTCTTTATTCTCCAGAAAAGAAAAAGAAAAAGAAAAGAGGAAAAAAGGAGAAAAAAGTCAAGGTAAAGAAAGAAGCTGCCTCCAAACAGTTGATCAAGAACTCTGGCCGAAACCAATCACCTCCACCCCCGGTAAGAATCAAGAGAGAAAGAGAGGATGTGGGGTATGATAAATATGCCAAAACAAACCAAGACATTCATCGGGATGGTAGTGTGGACCACAGGAATGAAGAAAGAGGAAAAGGAGATGGAAGGAAACACACAAATGGAGCTGATGAAATGAGGACCAGAGAGAAACACAGAGAAAGGAGTCGAACTAGAAACTCTGAGAGAGAGGAAAGGCGAAAAGGTGATCAAAATGGGAGAGGATCTGGCAATGAAAGGTCAGAGAGAGATGTAAGACACACTCACGGTGATGGGAGAGAGTTGAGATATGATGAAGAAAGGCACAGTGAACAAGAGAAAATGCGAAAAGAAAACAGGATTGACAGCAAGAATGATGACCATGACAAGTACAGGAAATACAGTCGCAGTAAGAGAGACGAGTGGGATTCACATTGTGACAGCATCAAGCATAAAGAGTCAAGATTTGAACATGACAAAGTCAGCCTTAACAAGGGAAAATACAATTACAGAGACAGTGATCAGAAAAGAAACTGAACAGTCAGAAGTCTGCAGCTAAATGCAATACACCTCCCCATCCAAAGTCTATGGACAAAATAAAGTCCCAGCAGTTAATAACCAGAAATAAATATTCTGAAATTTGTTGCTTTCCTCCAGCTTTTTTTCTTGAACTATTTCTTTGTATATGTGGACTATTTTTGCAATGGAGAATGTTAAACAACTTACAGTGCCCCTTTAACTACTGATGATTTTTTAAAAATAAATTTAAAATGTTTATTTTTGTGCTTACTTTGGAGATGTCAAATGAAACAAAGTTTTATTCTGATTACGTATAGTTGGCTGTTCTTCATGCAAAAAAGTTCATAATTGAGTGGTGATAGCCTTTTAAATTGTTGCAGGACATCCAGCTAAGCCCACTCCTGCTCTTGCTTCATTTCATCAAATAGGCACTTTCCAGCAGGAGGGACTGAATATCAAGTAACAGTGAAAATACTAGCTGATTTTTGTTTTGGTATTTTTCCTCTGCCCTACACACAGGAATTAATGAAGTAATTGTAGTGTTGCAACAGCCAAATCACCAGAGACCTGGATTTTGAAGCTGTTCCTTGCTCAACACGGCTCTGATCCACTTTGGTGCGCACTTATCTGCATAGCTTTGTATGTTTCTATGATATTTTAAAGTCACATACCTGATATTCAGAATTATTGACTTAAATAGAAATTCTTTTCCATGTTTTATTTTAAAGTAGGGATGTCACAGTTTACCTCAAAAGCTTCTAGTTGTGTAGATATTTATAAAAAGAGAATGAGCAGAATGGGTAGATAATATTACACCTAACAGTGCAAGACCCATCAATTAATTGTTTCTGAGTCCCCAGAATTATTTTTCATTTGTCGCTATTCATAAGTTTTGGGGAAACTCCAGGGTTTAGAAAGTTTGGAACAGCAGAAGCGATAGATTGTCCTGTGAGCTTACTGTAAGAATAGCATTATTAAATCAATTAAATTTACAAGCTACTCTGAGCAGTGGATTGTTTATCAAAAGATGCTACTAACTGCACATGGGAATTTAACTTAACTTACATTTTCAGAATTGTTTACTTTTTTCCTTCTCCAGGATGCACTGCCTCCACCTGTTACACTGATGCACAGGTCCATTGCTTGCCTTCCCAAGCTGAAGAAGGGTTTATCTGTTAAATGAACAGTGGTGCAGTGATGGTGTGTGAAATAACTCCACACAGGCCAGTATCCTGTCACCAGGTCACTATTTATACATGGAGAGTTCTTGACACTGGTCCAGCTCCCTCAGAGCCCACTCTGAGTGAACAGGCTGTCTGACACTCCTGTTCTTATCTGTCAGACAGGGCTCCGCGATTGGGCCTGTTAATTTGGCCCAATCAGGGAACTAATATTCTATGAGGATGACCTGGCTGACCTCATTACCATTGCCACAGTGTGGATCTCTTGTTTAAGTGCTGCCCAACACTTACTTACTATGAAAGTGTATTGTTTAAGATGTATCTGAAGAGGGTTGTTGCCAAGGTGAAATTACACTGGATAACTGCTGATTTCCAACTTTAAGCAGGTTTTCTTTTTAATGAACCTATTACTTTAAGAAAAAGTCCTTTGCTCAAATTAAACAGTTACTTGGGAAAGCAGTGTATTCTTTGTGTCTTCTAAAAGGAAGTAGAAAAGTTGTTTCATTTGAGATTCCAATAATTGTCAAGTCGTATGCAACATAAGCTTTCAGCGTCTATGATTGTCACTAACCTCATTTCATCTGGGATTCCCTCCCCTCCCCCTCAAAAAGAAAGCACCTCAGCTCATAGCGTCCTCAAGCCCATAGAGACCTATTGTTCCTGTGTGTACCTGCCCCATAGGATTTATTTCCTCCTACCCTGATACATTTTTTTTCCTCCCCTTGTCCAGTCCCTTCTTACACTTTACATTGGTTTCAGAATTTCCACATTGCGGTACAAGCTGCCTCCTTTTTACCTTGGATGTACAGACCAGCTACACACCCATGAGCCATCAGGAAGGTCTCAGGGCTGTCCACTCCTTCCTTGAAAGAGGGCCTAAATCATCCCCATCAACCACCACTCTCCTCCACGTGACCGAGCTCGTCCACACTTTGAACTACTCCTTTAACTCATGTCTTCAGATCAAGGTGTGGTTAGGAATATCCATTTGGGCTCCAGTTATGCCTGTCTCTTTGTGGGGTACATGGAACATTCCTTGAGTCCCTCCCCATAACTATATCTCTGGCATATCACTGATATCATTGGTGCTGCTTTCCTCTCTCATCTAGAATTAGAAAACAAAAATCAATTTTTCTTCCAATTTCTATCCTTCCCCCACTTTTTCATCTGGCCCATTTCTGATTGCTCCCTTCCCTTTCTCGACATCTCTGTTTCCATTTCTGCGGTTAGGCTGGCCACCGGTATCCAGTACAAACACACCGACTTCCACAGTTACCTGGACTATACATCCTCACATCCTGCTTCCTATAAGGACTCGGTTCCATCCATTCTGCATCTCTTCTGATGACGCTACTCTATGCAGAGGGGCATCAGAAATGTCCACCTGACAATAGCAGCATTTTATTTCGCATCCTTAACTGCCCTTCAGAAGGTGGTGGTGTGCTACCATCTTAAAAGAAAACTGCAATCCTTGGGGGGATTCTTTGGTTCTGATGAAGAGTCACCGGACTTGAAACATTAACTCTTCTTTCTTCCCACAGATACTACCAAACCTACTGAGTTTCCCCGGAAATTTCAGGTTTTAGTTTTTTTTCATGATCCACCATGCACAGTTTTGTTTAATATTTTTCTGTCAGCTTTTGTGTTATCATGCCAAACAGCACTCTGAATATACAGGTGTCTTTATCTTTAACATGAGGAATCATCCTAATCCCATACCTCTGCCCTCTTTCCATGTCACATTATTCCAATTTCCTTAAACTGTCTGCCGAACATATTTTTAAATGCTAAAATGACCTCTGATTCAATCACTTACTCTAGTAGTACATTCCCCAGCTTTGTAGCCCTTTGATCAGAAACACTGGGATACATTTTCAAAGGAATGACAATCAGATTTTCACATGCTGCTCCTACTTTAAGGAAGAACTCTGTGTTTTTGACAGGAGATTGTGATCAGGGCATCTTCAGGAATGTGGCAGGTCTTTATAGTGCAGGACAGTCTGAGAAAGTTAAATCATGCCTCCTTTTCCACAGCAGTCATTTGCCATATTCTGTAACTTAAAAGGTCGAACATCCACTTTGACACATCCTGTGAAAAGGCAAATGCACAGGATAAGGTCAGGGTACTGGGGCATAATGTAGAAAAGGGGTCATATAAGTGGTGGAGTGTTTGGGGTGGGTTGTTATATCTTCCATGAATTTCCTGATTTCTGCTTTTATGTGTTAAAATTAACACAGTCTTAAGGATAATAGCTTGAAGTTTATGCTCAACCGTTCTAGTTTTCACAAAGCATTTTGGCCAGTGTTGGTGTGACCAGGTTAAATTTCAATTTTAACTGCAATTTGTCTTCATCACAACTTGATTTTCTGCAATGTTTTGTACTAGTTTTTAAAATATTGTGCTAGAAGCAGGCCTTAATTCTCAATCATAAATTAATTGCATTCTGAGGAAGAATTAATTACAGTTGGGAAGTTTCACTAATTCTGCTTGTTTGCAGAATTTAAGGCGGGCTTTAAAAATTAAATTGGTTCTTTTGGATGCAAAATCATTTAAGAAAGGTATGTTTTAAAGGTTCTTAAGTGAGATAATTGTATTAATTTACTAAGAAACCAGAATTAATAAACCCCAATACGAACAATTGTTTAAATCATACTTCATCCAGTCACCACTTACAAACAAATTTAGGAAAAGTTTTAAAAGGTCAGATTTTAAAGGCAGTACGTTTTGAAACACTGTCCAATTGTGCTTGTTTATGAAAAAAACTGCAATGGAAATTTCAGGAAGATTAAGGACTTTTCAAAACTAGGCAATTTGCACTTGAATCAGCATTTGTACTTAAAGCAGAAACTTTCTCCTAACATATTTAAAATTAAAATGCCGTGGTTTTGCACATTTCCTCATTGACTTGTCACAACCAAGCTAGAGATGCAGTAAATTTCTTTACTAGAAACTTTCCTCCACAGATCTCAACAACTTTTAAATTTGAGCAGGTTACTATAAAGCTAGTCATATCGATCACAGATTGTCAGGTTCAGTGTTAAGGACAAGTCAGCCAGATTTATTAAGTCAACAATAAATAAATGGCATTAGACCAAAAAAAATTTACTTAACGATGCAAAAGATTATTAACATACAATTTGAATGATACAAATACATACATTCATTCTTTTAAGAAACTAAAAAAACAGAAAAGTGAGGAGAACAAGAAAAAATTGCAGAGTGTTGACTTTAAAATATTTTTGCCAAGTAATAGTTAAACTCATGAAAGAAGGATATGTCCAGGATTTATCCCAAATGGTGTTCTGACTCTGATGGTATTCAGCGGTTGTGATTGAAGAGTCTTCATGAACCTGTTGTCATTGGCTGAATTTCCTTCGCTTCAAATGTTTGGGTAGATTACAAGAAAATACACTTCCAGAGAGCTAAAGATGACCTTCAATGGATTTTCAGCTCATGTACGTTGGGAAACGTGGCAGAGAGAGAGAGAGAGAGAGAGAGAGCAATGGGCTGTTGGTCTTCAGACAGATCAATTTTGTTCACTCAATTAAAAAATACAATTGTTTTATCCTGCTCTGAAACTGAGCCATGAGACCTCTTTCTGCAAGTTCTCCAGGCTGTATGTCTCAAATGAGCTCTTTGCAAGTGCAATACGAGTGAGCTTGTAGCCTGTGTCTCTTCTTTAGCAAAGTGTTCTGTGTCTACATATTCAAAAAATATATTTATATGGGTCTGTATAAAATTTTAAATTATACTTGGATGAAAATTTCATAGAGTCATAGACATATACAGCACAGAAACAGACCCTTTAGTCCAACTTGTTCATGCCAACCAGAAATCCTGTATAAATCTTGTCCCATTTGCCAGCATTTGGCCCATATCCCTCTAACTCTTCCTATTCATATACCCATCCAGATGCCTTTTAAATGTTGTAATTGTACCAGCATCCACCA